AAAGAGTAAAAATCAAAATCAAACTAAAACATGATTTTAAAATGAATCAAAAAACCAATTAAAGGAACTGAAAACCGATCAGTTTTAAGAAATTGCACTTCAATTTTTGTTTTGTTTAATCATACTTACATTCATCAAAATTAGGCTCTGAAAACTCGGACAAGTTAAATTCCATAACATTGTCATCATTAGTAATCGAAGGATTGAGATCTTCAGATGCGAGAAGAAGACACGATGGAGATTGTTAGTCATTATCTGTATTTGTATCATCTTCTACTACCTTGACCCAAAGATCGTACAAAAGCTCATATTTATCATCAGCTTCCCAAGCAATACCTGCGGCTTTTGCATGCTTAAATCGTGGTAAAACATCAGCATCAATCTTGTTTTCAACGAATTGCCGGTGAGATAAGACTTGTGCTGATTTTTGTGATTCGGGTTCGTTAGAAATATTTTGAGCATTTTGAGACTCTTTTATTTCAACGAATTTTGTGTAATCGACTGTGTCAGCATCGAATGGGCATATGCCACAAGCTTTAAATCCACTCTTGATAACACTAACGAAATTTTCCTCATTAATAAGCTTTGACAAAAAAGCTGGAACATTATGTTTTTGCACTTTAGCACCATTATTTTCTATTCGCTAATTACGAATTAAATTCTTTCATCGTTGTTTTAATGGGAAAAAAAGGATACATCGAGTGGTTGTAGAATATGAGATGCGTGGTGCGGGAAACAGCACAGGATAATCTGTTTTTCTTTGCAGAACTTACTCAAATAGATCGATATGTGAGAGATATGACCATATAAGAATACAATCACTGGGAATTTAATTCTACTATTTTGAAGAAATGAATAAAAAACATTTGTGAAATACTCAAAAAAAGATTCACTGGTCATCCACCCATTTTCCGATTTCCCTATTCCCCAGCCTTTTGGAGCACTCAACACAAATTTTTGGTAAACGTTCAAATTTAAAAATTGTTAGCCAAAGTAGGGTAGAGAAGTTATAGCATACGGTAACCAAGTTTGTGAGAGACCGATTACCATGGGCAGGCATATATTAACCAAATTGTTCCGATTAGCGATATCATGCACGTTCCAGAAAGAGAGATTTATTAAACTAGGGCCCTGTCGTTTTTTGTCTACGAGGAGTGTTTGGCTTATATTGCACGCTGGCGAGGAGACCTTGGAGATTGGGCAGAAGTAGAGACTAGTTTATTCGTTTAGTGTTAACCTCTATACCGTGCTAAAACACAAGTTCTCGTCCGACCACTAAAGTTAAGCAGCACTGGGCACGATTAGTACTTGGATGGGTGACCGCTTGGGAACACCGTGTGCTGTTCTTCGAAAGTCGTTGTTCACCTCTGCTGCCAGCAAGACGTGTTTACTTTAGCTCAGGATTTTTCTTAATTTCTTTCTAATTTCTCAACATAATCGCGTTTGGTGAAGTTAGTCTTTACGAAGTTCATTGTCGCTTTTCTTAACTAACCTTTTAATCTATTGTATTGCACAAGTCACAACATCTTCATTGACAAGTGTAGCCTTAGATATATAATCCAATAACGCAGCTGCTTCTGTAGAAATTTCAGCTCCCTTATTTTTTAATTTGTAAAGTAATTGTGGTTAATTACTCCATCCTATTTTATTAGCACTTAAAGTAAGAAACATAGTATGTTTTCCTATTTGTCGTATCATCACAAAAAGATCTCTTTTTCGTTTGTTTCAATACCAAACAGAATTAGGTTTTGATCGTAGAAAAGCTAAATTTATTAAATTAAATTTAAATTATATTTAATTTACTTTCGATGCAATTATTAATATATTCCTTTGATTCAATCTGCTGCCGTGTAATATTCGTATTTTTTCCCACATGCTTAAATGCAATAGTAAGTGAGTCACGAACTCTTATTCTCATTATTTTCATAGCAGCGTATAATAAATAATACGGAGTAACTCCACATCGGTGTGATCTTCGTAATTCACTAGTCGCTATTGCGAATGGTGTTGCATTTATTCCGTCTCTGAATGTTCGGAAGTAGCCCAAATAAGTCGATAAGAAAGAAAGTTCTTCAACATGTTCATCAAAAATAATACTTCGTGAAAGATTATACTGTGCAGATGCAATCTGTAAATATTCGTCATCATTCCACATCAGAGTCTGTTGTTGTGCTGTTAGACTTTCTTTGATCGGTATATTTTCATTTGTGTCTTCTCGATGAATTTCATCAATGCTATGATCATAGTTGAAAAAGCTGTCATCTACATAATATCGTAGAGTTTGAATCAAGTACTGAAGCTATGCACAAATCGTTCTTTTATTAAGGAGACACGTCCACAAAAAAATCGATTTTTTTTTCGATTTTCTGAAAGAATATTATTTCAAAAATATTTCTTCAAATTTTGGTAAAGATCCGCCATTATTTACGAAACTGTAGTAGTTTAAACGGAGCGCGCCGTAGCGTTCCAAGTAAGTGTCCAAAACTTTAAATGTTAATTGCTCCTATTCGCGTTTTTAAAACGGTTGCCCTCGTTGCGTCCAGACCATTTATCCGATCCTTACCAAATTTTGTACAGTAGTACAAGATACACGTATCTAGGGAATGAACGAAAGGATTTTTTGAAAAAATGCCAATTTTTTTTTCTTTTCTCAAAAACTCGGCGATTTTTCTACAAAAATGTCAATTTTTTCGTTAAAAGTCGACTATTTGGAAAAAAATTAAAAAATTAAAATTTCCTTTCGTTCATTCCCTTCGCCAACATCTCTACTAAAGGATAACACTCGGTTTTTATGTTTCTGATGAACCAATTGTTGCCAGTAAGGGCAACTGAAAATCACCTGTTTTTTGGATTCTTAGAAAAGTGGTCACAGACAACACAATTTACAATATTTTTACACACAAAAAATTGTGAATATAGTTCAGATATACACTAAACCACAAAGTGGCCACAGACAACACAATTTACAATATTTTTACACACAAAAAATTGTGAATATAGTTCAGATATATAACTTACATATACAAAAAATCTGTATTGAAATTAATAAAACTGGCTGCAAAAAAAATTCACAAAAAATCCGCCTTTTTTTTGCACTCGAAGGTGACGTGTCCCCTTAACTATTCCCATTAAGTAGTGTGATCTGTGAATTTTTTTTTCTTGATATGAACGTTAATGGAATGGTCTTCATTAATATTGCGAAGTAAATGATTTACCATATTGTCCACCTAGACTGGTACATTAATAATTTGACTATAAATTCCGTATTGACCGTGGATGTGTCTCAACCGTCTAAAGCATAAAAATAGAATTCGCGGAGAGACAAGTCTTTCGGAAATTAAATCAAGTAGTGACAAGGACGCAGGTATATTTGGATATTTGAAACCGTTTTATGTGGACAATGTTATAATAACTTTCTTTTCTATTGATTGGTAACACGTGGTGCAAAGTAAAATCTCATTAATTGAATTGAAATTATCAGTTATTATACGTAAGAGTTCTTCATGTTCTGTTTGTGGTGGTTTTAAATCATTGTGGAACCATAATCGATCGCAAAGGGAGCATGCATAACCGAATATATTGTTAAAAAATTTGTTGCGCAAATCATCATGGGCAACTTTATTTCTTAGAAATTGTGAGCTCGGAATATCAAAATGTGCCGTGAAAGAGGTGCGAACGAAGAAGAAAGAACAAAGAAAACAAAATGGCCGCCGGGAAGATGCCAAAGAAGAAAATGGTCGTTTCACAAGGAGAAGCCAGACAAGAGAAAGATGGCCAATCAGAGGCGAAACCGTGCGAGAGAAGAAAGGTAAAAAAAAAGAAAAGAAAAAACGTGGTAAAACCTGGTTCTGGAGATCAGGTTGGGGTCATTAGTGTGTAAAGTCTGCTAGTCGTGGGTAAAGGCGGCGAGTCACTGACCAGAGGATGACCAATGGAAATGTTGGACAAACTAGAAACTTCTCTTTTTTTAATTATGATCCCATAGAACAGATTTATTTAGAGAGAAAACAGAAGATACACACGACGTACAGAGAAAGAAAAGAAAGATACAAAAAGTGATATAGAGAACTGGAAGAGTAATTGGCACAAAGCGACTGATAAGCTCGGCGATCGATTTAGAATTGATTAGGAACTGTGGGAAATCCGACAGGCCGCGTGCCGAGTGACTAGTTACTGACCACTGTAACGACCAATAAAAAGGCTGGACACGACCAGGGATTTCTCCTTTTTTTTACTAGTGACTTCACAGTCCAGATTTCACAAATTATACAAGAAGGAAATGCACACGGAACGAAGACACAGAATTTACGATACGGAAAATGATATAATTAGATCAACGGAGATAAAATAATTATTGACTGTTGAATTCAACGAACCGCACGAGAATGATCGATATCGACGCAGCTTCCGCTGAATCCTAGATCATCAGGGCGCGGGGGCAGACGCGCCGAGAACTCGCCATGTCGATCCGCCAGTAAAAGCCCCTGGTCACGATGACGTCACATGCTTCGGTGTGGGGAACAAGGTCAACGGAAAAGGTTGATCTGGAGATTTACGCGATAGTCGTCAATTTAAGTAACAAAAATATATAAATTTATTAACAAGATACAACTAAACTCTTGGACGCCATATATAGGACTAACTTACATTTCGACCGTTACGTTCAACTTGGGTTTAGTTAGTCTAGTACCCGCATAGGGAKGAAGGGCGCCAGTGTGCCGCGTCGATACACTAGGCACGTATCGCCACATTCGGCCAATCAGATGCTGACACCTCCTGGACCGGCTACGTAGCCGAACAGATGCTGCCACCGCCAGACGCGCTTACTCTAGGCGGCTGCTAGGGACATCTGCGTAGGTTCGCGCCGGTGTACAGGAAGGTGTCAGCACCGCAGAGAAGATCTGAAACTCACGAGTCGACCGAGAGGTGTCAGCACCGAGCAGGTGCGGGACGCCACAGTCACTCCCCCCTCTGGACCGGACGCCGGAGGCGAACGGATCCTAAGATCTTCTGAGGATGTTCGGTCGATGACGTTGTCGAAGCTGTCCGCTGTTGGAGGTCGCAGGAGGTGACCGTGTAGCAACGGCTGAAGATGGTGGTGGCGAGTCGATGACAGGTCCGGAGGTCGAAGGCGAGGTCTGCACTGTAGGTGAAAGTCCGGGAGCAGCCGTAGGACGAGAGGACAACGACGAAGCAGGAGCAGATGTCCGCGCTGGCGTGTCGAATGTGTCGAGGTACGCCGGTTTTAAAGCGTCCGTGGAGACAGTCCTTTCCAAGCCGTTGACCTCAATGACGTAGACCTTGTCACTGATGGTCTGACCAGGCGAGCTGCACGGCGCGAAGAAAGCGCTAGGGATCTTTAGCAGCGTGCCGCAAACTATTTCCGCTGGCGAAGCCTGATGGTTCCCTTTGTAGGCGTTCCGAAGGCCGAGAAGCACGAGTGGAAGTGTGTCAGGCCAAGGCGCCTGGGCGCACATAAGCGCCGATTTGAGCGTGCGATGAAATCTCTCGACCATGCCGTTAGCTTGAGGGTGGTAAGGCGTCGTCCTGATCCTCGTGGTTCCCGAGGCTTGAGCAAGTGCGGCGAAGAGAGATGACTCGAACTGAGTACCCTGGTCGGAGGTGATTTTGAGCGGACATTCTTTGTCCGCGATCCAAGCCGACGTGAAAGCCTTAGCGACGGTCTCTGCCCAGATGTCTTTGAGCGGAACAGCTACTGGCCATCTAGTGAAACGGTCGATTATCGTAAGGCAATAACGGAAGTTCTTTACCTGGAGCAGCGTGATGATGTTGACGTGGACATGCTCGAAGCGGCTCTCCGTAGCTTGAAAGCGGGAGAGCGCGGCACGATTATGCCTGGAGACTTTCGAGCGCGGACACGGAAGACAGGCGCGTGCCCAAACGGTGACGTTCTTACGAAGACCGGGCCAGACAAACTGCTGCGAGATTTTACGTACCGAGACACGGACACCAGGGTGGGCGAGACCGTGAATAGCCTCAAAGGCGGTTTGACGAAGAGAGCGAGGCAGGTAAGGCCGAACTCGACCGCCGTGTGAATCGCAGGCCACCTTGATTCTCCTATGGATGAGGCGTTGTATTTTGAGGGAGGTGCGTGCTGCGAGTGATGAAAGCTCGTCGTCGCGAGCTTGTGCATCCGCGATGGTTTTGAGACTAAGAGCCGAAGGCAAGCTGACCGTGGCGCAGACTGAAGCTTTCGTTGAAGGCGACGCGGAGTCGTCCGAAGGCTGGTCCGGAAGAGGGCGTCGGCAACGACGTTGTCTGATACGCTGACGTGCTTGAACGTGACGTCGAATTGCAGCAGAAAGTCAAGCTGCCGTTGTTGTCGAGGAGAGGCCTTATCCGAGGGTTGGTGAGCTGCATAGATAAACGGCCGATGATCTGTCACCATCGTGAACGGAAGACCCACTAGAATTCGCCTGAAGTGATGCACCGCCAAAAAGACGGCCAGGAGTTCCCGATCGTTGTTACCATAGCGAGACTTCGTTGAAGACAGCGTCTGCAAAAAGAAGTTGATGGGCCGCCAATCTTTATCGATGAGCCGCAGTAACGCAGCGCCTACGGCTGAGTGGGAGGTTCGGCGAGACGAAGCGGGACGGACGGTGAAAGGAAGGCTGTCTCCGTAGCTGTCGCGAGGCTGCGCCGAGCATCTTCGAAGGCGCGGTCAGCTGCATCGTTCCATATGAGCGGTTGACGGCTGCCGATGGGAAGACCACGAAGGAGCTGGTTGAGCGGTGCCTGGGTATGAGCGGCATGCGGCAAGCTCCGTCTGAAAAATTTAAGCATACCCTAAAAACGCTGCAAGCTCCTTGGCGTTGCGGGTTTCTGAATGTTCCGAATTGCAAGGACTTTACGCAACGGATGACGAATGCCACTTGAAGAGATCCGATAACCCAAGAAGACAACACTGGGAAGTCCGAGCTGCAATTTATCGACCTTGAACGAAAGTCCGGCCTCCCGCAAACGAGAGAAAAGGACTCGTAGAACGTGGAGGTTTTCCTCGTGAGAGGAGGACCGGACGCAAAGATCGTCGATGTAGCAGCGATCGAAAGGAAGGTCTCGAAGTAGAGAGTCCATAAAACGCTAGAAAGTTTGCGAAGCGTTGCAAAGGCTGAGCGGCACTCTTCGGAACTCGAACAAGTTAAAAGGCGTGGTTACGGCCGTTTTTTCGACGTCTGATTTTGCCATCGGAATATAAAAATAGGCCTCCTGAAGGTCGATGACCGAGAAGACCCAGCTACCGCAGTTATCCTCGAGCAAGTCTTCGATGACAGGGAGAGGATAACGATCAGGTAACGTGATGGCGTTAAGACGACGATAATCGCCTGTCGCTCGAAAGCCGCCTGAGGTGAAGTAGGCTGGTCCACGGGCTGAAAGACGGCCGAACAACTCCTTGCTGGAGAAGACAGTCGAAGGTGAACTTAGCCGCGGCCAAGCGTTTGCCGGAAAGGCGACGCGGGCGTTCGAAAACGGGCGGTTCAGCCGTTACAATGCGGTGCATCACAGAAGAGCCCTGGAGCACAGCCTCGGATTTAGAGGGCAGACCAAGGGTGAGCGTCAGGAGGCGGCGACCAAAAGTGTGGATGGGCGAACCGTTGGCAGCAACTAGACGGAGTTTGTACGATCCGAAAGGATCATACGGTAATTAGCGGTATTCAAAATTCGCGCGCGTCCACCTCCATCGATTAAGATTCTAGATCGATACTCATTGTGAGCATCGATCAATTACCAGTAACTACCGAAGCGCCACTCTAGTTACCCCCACCTCTCGCCTCCCCACTTCTCAATCCCCTAGTGCCTACGCAGTACACAGTACAAAGGGACATTCATACTAGTTCTTTATCGGACGCTTACGACTACACATCTTCAAAGATTATAGAGGCTATAGTGGACAAAGGCTTTAAGAATTCACAAAGGACAACGGAAAGATCACCTTAATCTTTAAGTCTTGTGAAGGCAAGCCTATTCGACATCACAACCCTTAAGGTTGTGATTGCTATAATTCAGGAGGGCGAGAGGTGAGATCTTTATATTATTATATTTTATATCGACGGTATTTTCCCACGTGGTTACACCACGTGGTGGACTTTTCTTGTTATAATTAAATATCATCCAGGGTTTTTATGCCGCAAGGCTTTTCCCTGACGAGCCAATAAAAAAAGGCATTGTTTCTTTGTTTAGCTCAATCACGTGTTTTATTTTACACCTTAACCTAATCCTTTATTCTCCACTTCATAGCAAACAACTAATGATCAGAGGAATTTTCATTGAAGAATCTTTTGGTCATAACAGAGTTCATCGTACAAGAGCGGTTTCGAGACAAAACGGCGAGGTAGAAGAGAAACAACCGAACCGCAGTCGACAAGCATAGAATGCTGCAACGAGCTCTCGAAGATGTGAAGGCGGTAGTCCAACAAGGACGAAGGAACGCCATCGATTACCTCGGAAATGTGTGACGGTACATTTAGTCTCCCGAATTGTCCGCCTTAAAGCTGCAGGAACCCTTGCAGCGAACTGCTTTCTCCCGATGAAGTTTGTGATAATAACACCAGCGTGAAGAAGCTGGTGGAGTTCTTGCCGAGGCTTTCGCTGGTGGCGGAGGAGGAGAAGTGATCTGGAGGCGTCGCGGAGGCGACGGCGAGCGGGGTTGCTGCGAAGTAATTTATTGCAACTGTGAGCTGCAGCAGCTGATATGTGTTTCGATTATTGGAAACCGCCAGGCTTGCCAGCGTAGAGTGCACCGTGGCCAGTTCTGTCGCGATGTAATCCGGCATCGAGCCGGGCCCGTGCAAGGTTGAAGCTGCTTGAGAACCAGCGACCGCGAAGATCCGACCACCGAACCCGGATTGCGTCATTATCGACGCTGTTTCTGGCAAGATGGCGCATCCGCCGAACGAGTTGGGACGGAGTCCGATCCCCCATCGTCAGCCTCGAAAACAGCTTTTGCAGCTGCTGCACAGCTGTATCGCCGAACCGAGCCAAAATTTGAGATTTAAGATGTTCGTATTTCTCTGCGGAAGGAGGGCGATTAAACACGTACTCCATCTCTTCTAGAGTGTCGAAATCGAATGCTGTTATTGCAGAATGATAGTGTCTGGTATCCGAACGCATATCATTGCACCTGAACAGCGACTCCGTCTGGAGAAGTCAAAGCTTCGGACTACGACGCAAAAAGGGCGGCCAAGGGTAATTTGACCTACGATTAGCGTCGCTTGGAGCGGAGGCGGGAACAAGAACGTCAGTGTGTTCAGAAACCACGTTTCTGCAAGCTAATGCCCCGGTCGGCGCCGTGACCGAGACAGGAGCCGGAGGAGGAACCCGCTAACCATAACGGTCCTCCACGGGCGAACTCCTCGAAGCAGCCGCGTCCGATAAATCACGGGGAGCGCGCTGCGAGGCTTCAGCTTGCGTAATCGGCATTTCGAAAGTAAGAGACAGGGAGAAAAACGAAAAGAGGAAAAGAAATCACACACGAAGAAAGAAAAAAGAAAGACGAAACGATCAACGTGCTTACGAGAATAGTGGGCTAACGAGGAAAGAGAACGAAAAAGAACAATATAGCCGCCGTGGGAGATAATACGAAAGAAAATGGCCGATCAGAGGCGAAGCCGGGAAAGAGAAGAGAAAATAGAGACGAAATACGTGGTTAAACCTGGTTCTAGAGATCACGTCGGGGTCACCAGTGTGGGAAGTCCACTAGCGGCGTTGTGAGTTGGCGAGTCACTGACCACAGGACGACCAATGAGAACGCTGTACGACTAGGAAACTCTCATTTTTAATGGGGATCTCACAGAACAGATTTAATAGATAAAGAACGGTAGAAACACACGACGTACAAAGTAAGATAGTAAGACACAGAAAAGATAAAGAAATACTAGTATGAATTGCAATAAAGACTATCAAGTTCGACGATCAGAACAGAATTAATTAGCACCTGACGCAGCATCCGCTAAATTGGAGATCGTTGGAACGCGGGGAGAGGCACGCAGAGATTACGCCACGTAGATCAGATAATTACAATCCCTGGTCGCGATCACGCCACATTATTATTATTATTATTATTATTATTATTATTATTATTATTATTATTATTATTATTATTATTATTATTATTATTATTATTATTAGTTTTTATTGGCATGAACTTTTACAGTATAGAGCCACAGCACCAGTACAGTGGCGCCGATGAGGGCGCGCTGAGTTACAATTTCAAATACAAAAATAGTCATATCCTAATATCTAATCTTAATCCTAAATCTTAACCTAAAGTAGGATTACAGAGAGAATAATGAAGTACCGTAAGTAAGTAAGTAAGTAAGTAATTAATAAGATGATACATGAATGAATGAGTATAATACACAGAGTGAAATGATCTAAATGTGCTAGATTGAATAGTGATTAAATGTAGGCATTATATTACATATTTATTGTACGATCCGAAATGATCGTACGGTAACTAACTGTATTCAAACCGCGCGCGTCCGATTTTACCGACTAAGATTCTAGTTCGATATTCATTACGAATATCGAATAACTCCAAGCGACTATCGAAACGCTAATGATAGCCACCACTACCTCTCTCATCCCCACCTCTCACCTCCCCACTATACGACCTCTGTTAGACCAACTCAAAGCAGTGCTGTCAGATCGTGGGTAAATCTTACCCTCTCCCTGTGCCACTGGTATTGCACACAATGAAAGTTTTCCATGTCCGTGTGTTTGGGATGTCGAAAGAAGTCGAGTGTAACCGAAGTTGGCGGGCACGCCGGAGTGGCACACTATGAAAGCGACTCGTGTCGTCCGAACACATGGACACGAGTCGCTTTCATAATGTGCCACTTCGTGACCACTGCGGAGTACTTTTCTGATAACCCAAAGCTAACCTCAAAGATGAATTCTGAATTCTTTGTAATTTTTCAAAATTTGCATTTGAACATGGCGAAATGAGAAAGCCACAATATTCTAATCTTGATCTGACTAAGAATTGGTAAAGTAAGATCAACGTACTTGGATCTGCACCCCACCAGGTCCTCCTCAAACAACTAATAATTCTGGATGAAAAAACACTCTTTCTAACTAAGTAGTCGATATGTTTAGACCAATTGAGCTGTTGATCTAAAATCATACCAAGAAGCTTAACCTCACTGGTTGGTAAAATTGTTTCATCCTTTATTTTTAATTCAATATTTCTGTTATTTAGGTTGCACTTATTGAAAAAAATTAATTCACATTTATGTAAAGCCAATTCAAGGCCTCTATTTTTAAGAAAGTTTAAAACGAGATCAATGACGAATTCGAGTTTATTAATGCCTTCTTGCGGGTTGTCCCACTGAGTGAACAAAACCACGTCGTCAGCAAACTCTAAAATTCCTATATCTATCCCTAAAAGTA